TGCTTATAAAATACAGTAGGGTTCCCTTTTATGTGACCAGCTGATCTTTTGTCATACATCTCTTTGCAATTCTTATTTTCTTTTTCAGCTCTCCTCCGTACTTTCTGTATTTTATTTGGTTATCTTCTGTATTTTGGACTGACATTTATCATAAGCCTCCTTTTTCTGTTTTATTTTAATCCCAGTTCCTTTATTCAGGGAGGTTTGGCTGCCCTACCTTTTCCCTCTGTGGGAATATATTTGTTCTGTCCCCGAACTATCTCCTCCTTGAAGGCTTCCCATTTCTCGATAGCTGTTTTTCCTACCAATCTTTCTTTCCAGTCCACCTTTGCTAGGTCCCTTTTTAACTCATTGAAATTAGCCCTCTTCCAGTTGAGTATCTTCATCTTTGATTGCTCCTTGTCCCTTTCCATAAGTACGCTAAACTTAATGATATTGTGATCACTGTTGTCCAGATGCTCTCCTACTGAAACCTGCTCCACTTGCCCCAGAACTAGATCCAGCACTGCTTCCTTCCTCGTTGGGCTGGAAACATACTGATCCAGAAAGTTATCCTGCCACATTTTCAGGAATCCTTCCCCCTCCTTGGTGATCTATAGTATACACCTAACAGCTTTTCTGCTCCTTAACTCTGACCAAGTAGATTCTGGTTTTGGACCCTTGCACATCGTCCCTTTCCAGGACCTTAATCAATAATCCGTCAATAATCAATATTGCCACCACCCCGCCTCCTTCTTTTCCTTCCCTATCCCTCCCGAATACATTGTAGTCAGGAATATTCAGCTCCCATTCCTTCCCTTGTTTGAGCCAGGTCTCCGTTATTGCCACTACATCATAACACTATGTGGCAACTCCAGCCTGCAGCTCACCAATCTTATTTGTCACACTCACTTATTTGCATTTACACACATGCACTCCAAGACAAATTGAGTCTGCTCAGCATTTCTGTCTTTGGTTCCAGAAATGCTTGTCTACTCCTTTCACCATTGTGTCCCCAGTGACAATTGCATTGACACTCTTCCCTAACCCAACTCTACCTCTCTGCCTCCACCCTTGGCTCCAGGACCACTGCTGAGTTGACAGAATGTCTGTCAGACATCAAGTCCTGGATGAGAGCTAACTTTATTCAGTTGAACGTCAACAAGACCGAGGCTCTCGTGATTAGTTCCCGTCAGCGCCTCCTTACCTCAGGCGCTGACAGCATCATCATCCATGGTGGCACACTCCACTTTGCTAAACCAGTCCGGAACCTTGGGATCTTTTTTGACCCTCAACTATCCTTTCTAGCCCACATCTGAGCCATGACCCACTCTGCCTTCCCCCACCTCCGCAACGTCGCCTGGCCCCGACACTGTCTCACACCGCAGGTCACTGAAACCCTCATACACACCTTCATTACATCGAGGCTCGACAATGCAAACTCACTGCTTGTCGGCCTCCCCAACTCCTCCCTCCACAGACTGCAGATCATCAGAACTCTGCAGCCCGTGTCCTTTCCCGCACTAGGCTCCGTGACCCTATGACACAATCCTTGCCCAACTCCTCTAGCTTCCATCACACAGAGGATACAGTTCAAGATCCTGGTCCTCACCTTCAAAGCTCTCCAAGGTCTTGCTCACCCCTACCTCACTGACCTCCTAACCCCCTACCACCCTGTTCACTCCCTGTTCACTCCGGCCTGCTTCACGTCCCCGGCCTCGCTCGCCCCACTATCGGCGGGAGGACCTTCCGCCACTCTGCACCCACCCTCTGGAACTCCATCCCACAGTCCCTCCATCTCACCCCCTCCCTCGCCACCTTCAAGACCCACCTCAAGATCCTCCTCTTCGACCGTGCTTTCGATCTCCCTGCTTCCCCTCCTGACCTCCACCCTCCCCCACCCCGACCCCCAGCTTGGGTCCAAAACTTTCACATCCTCCCGACGTGAAAGACGCTATATAAATGTAATTTTGTTGTTGTTGTTGTCATCACCCTCACAGGTATTCAGTACAGAGAACAGGTTTGTGAGTGCCACACTCTCAGCCACTCACTCTCCTTCTGAACCCTCTGTGGCTGTGGGGGGACCACCTCCTGAAACGTTAGATCCGTGAACTCTTCAGCCTCCCGTATGTATCCCCTGAGCTCAAGCTCGAGGAACCGGAGGCACTTCCTACACACATGTCTATCCAGAACACAGAAAGCATCCTGGAGTTCCCACATGACACACATTGTGCATGCAACTGGTCTCAGCTGCCCTGCCATATTCCCAAACATGTTTTATATTATTTTAATATACTATTATATATTTTATAATTATGCACCTCTTTCCCCCTCTGAACCAAATGCTTAATACATGTATGACCAGGTTTACACCCTTATTGTGTTTGGCTTTTGCTCATTTAAATCAACGCCTGCTGCTCCATTATTTTGAGGTTTTTTTATGGAAAAGGAGCACCTGGACGTGGCATTGCATTTCATTATCTTTCACTATTTAGATTGGAAGCATCTGGGTCACCGTTTTGTCAAGTTGGGTGAAGCAGCTTTAGACATATCACAGTATGCTTAAGTTATGGAAGCATGCATTCAGGACCTGATCAAGCAAGTACTGCTGTCTGTTTGTGTGATACCAAGTCATGTTGGAAAGTAGATTAGTCTTGTCAAGCTTTGATTCATAGAGATGAATTGAGTTTGTTGAGATTCCTTACTGCATTGCCTGGGGCAAAACGTAACAGATCTCTAACTTGGAAGAGTTGTGGCATAAAGGTGGAATTGCCAATTTTTTATTCATTGCGTAATGCTCTTGCGTGAAGCTTTATTTTTCTTGTAAGGGCGTATGTTTTACTTTTATGGTGCGAAAATGTAAATAAATTTTTGAGCACGTTTCCATGTTCACTGGGGTTTCCTCAAAATGTATAGCGGATAAAAGAAACCTGTTATAAGTTAACTCTAAAATAAGATTTGAGCAGAAAACTCCAGCAGACTCCTGTGACCATATACTCAACAATCATAAATCTCTTTACAGTTTAATAATGTGTATTACATTGCTCAGACATGGGAGATTGATTCACATTTTTGAGAATGAGACAAGTCAATTTAAAAAAACGATCTCGAGGAGTATAAGTGAACTTGATAACTCACCACTAACCCCAGAGATGTTTCACCAAGAACTAATGGGTGGCAGGCCAATCCAACTCTCCCACTGGAAGGATCCGTTGTTCCAGATTCAAAATTAGATTCTTGATCCAAATATATGTCCAACTTCTCTTGACAGCCTGAACCTTGAAAGGCAAAGTTATATAAAATTCTAAATCTTGTTTTGTAAGTGCTGAATATACTCATAGCTGATCATACAGTGCTAATGGAAACAAAATTGTATAACCAGTATTCCACCAACCTATTATTTATTTCCTGTGGGCTTCCATTCATACTGCTTCATTCTTGACATTCGGATACTATCCAATGAACTTTGCACCAGTATTACTGAAAACTATGTAAAGTTGTATACAGTGGTGATTTAGTACAGTCTCCATGGGAGAAAACTAAGATGACTATTTAGCCTTAAATGGGTAAGTGTGCAGTGCTGTTAGCATACATTAATCACTCTGAGACGCTACCCTGTGTGGAGGGCACTATATAAGGGTAAGTTGTTGTTATACCCAAATGTATGTCAACAACACTGCATTTGGCAAAACTGTCCTTATAGCTAGAGCCTTCAGCAATGTTGTCCTGCTCAATTGGCTGTAAAATGAAGAAGAAAATGGTATGGTTGTCCTCATTTTTTGACTTGAAGACTCCTCCACATACACATCCTTCCTCTGGTTTATATGGGGGAGGGAGGAAGAAGGAAAGCCCTACTCCTCTCCCCCCCCCCACTCCCAGTATATACCAGAGCAAAATGTACCTACTGATGTTAGTCTTGAGTGGCATGTGAAAGTGCTCAAATTGCTGAATGAAGAAGAGCCTACATCATTTTGAATTGTTCTGGCTTTAATTTATCTTCTGCAATTAATGCAGCAAAGAAAAAAAAACTGTTCACAGTAATTCTGTATTGACACATTTATGTCACAAGAACATTTATTATCTAGCAGCTATACTTCCTGTGTACTGCAAAACTATAATGCAGTTGGCTGATGTTGATTGGTAAACTGACAGTATCTGGAGGGTTCACCACAGATTTATCCTGCTGCATTTGGATAATGTTTCTGCAAGTCTGAACCTGTCTCTCTTTGAATGCTTCCTTCATAAGAAAATTTGAGTGCTTTACCTTAGGTTTCTGATGGTGCAGCACCAAACGAGTAAATAAATGGAAATCTGCTGAACCTTGTTAATCATAACATGTTGTTGTTGTTAATCATAGTGCTGTTTACTAGTGTTTACATGCACCCTTTCATGTTAGTTTGCCTTTGGCCTGGCAGCCTTTACACGCTTCTTTGAAAGAATAAGTCAATGAGCCAAAATTAACCGTTTTGAAAGCTTATGTACATTTTGCTGTCCTCCACTTACTTATATAACAAGACATAGGAGGTATAAATGTGACATTCATCAGTGCCATAATTATCATCAGTTGTGTTAACTATCATATCATTGAACATTCTGCTCCTGGCAATGCCCTAGTCAGTAACTGGGTTATACGCATACATCCACTCCTCCCGTCTAACTTTGAAAATTGTTGAGCTCAAAGCTGGCCTGTGGTGCCTTTTGAACCTCGCGATATTTCAGAGCAACTTTGCAGAATATTGTTTTAACTCGATTTTTAAAGTAGACTGGAACTACACCAGGAGCAGAATGTTTTCTGAGATAATTAGCAACAGTGATAATTACGAAATCAGATATTTTACATCCCGTGCTATATTTATCAGCTGGGCTTTGAGAAGATATAAAGTTGTGACCTCTCCAATGGAACACATACTTCAGAAATGTATCAAAACACTTTTATGTTGTGAGTTTAATATTAAAAGCATTATTGTGAAAACATTTGTACTGTACAAAGCTCATATCCATAATTTTCCTCTTTCTTACAGTGATATCTTTGATGCCATGTTTTCAGTAACCCATATTGCAGAAGAAACTGTGATTCAGCAAGGTAATGTTCTATTAAACCTTATACATTTCTAGATTTTTAAAATAAAAAAATAAATATTGCAGTGTTTTCAAAGTAAGAACACTTTTTTTCTCTTAAGTTTCCTTTTTTGCCACTGATGGTGGAGATTCTTCCTGGTTCCATGGGTGCTGGCAGCTTTTGGATCTTTCAGCCAGAAGGGCATTCTTTACATTTGAGCAGAGTCAATGGATTGTTCAGATGTGGAGGAGCTGAGCCAGACAGACTCTTCGTGATTCAGAGTCCACCCACATTCACTTTTTCCAGCATTGATCATGATCAAGGGAAGAAACTCCAGCTCATTTTTTCCCCTCCCACTGAAGCCTCGGGACACAAAGGCCTTCCCTTCTTTGCCACCCAAACACTTGGAAATCAGACTTGGCACACGTCAATGATTGGATCTGAAATAATTTATGTAATGTTTAGTGTCAGATCATATGAGAGTAAACCCTGAGTTATAATTCAAGAAGCCACTTGTGAGCCTTAATAATGCAAATATTACAAATCTAATAGAATAGAATACTGTAATATCTTACATATTTCTTCATCCCTAGTCATTTTCTTGCAATGCTTCATTCATTTTTAAAGCTTACCTCTGCTTTCATCCTCTGGACCAGCATTGCTGTTCTACATAATGGATTAAATTGGCAGTAAATTTAAATGAGCAGAAGTTACTTCAAAGTTGCAAATGATATATCACATTTTATATATCCAGCTACCACATGGTTCTTCAAATATCCGTTGCTAACAGAACATTGAAAATACATTTGGAAAATCACACTTCCCTGTCTTTTATATTGTATATGCACAGCTCATGGATGTGCAGCCAAATACGGTAATAGACAAAAGTAAAATTCTAAAAACTGAATAATACCAGAAATCGTCATTGAAAAAATCATTATAATCACCAGGGAAAGAGTGATATGCAATAAATACTATTGCTAGTTTCACGTAACCACATTTTGACAAGTTCTAAATCTAGATCACCATTGTTTGATTAAAAAGCAAAATGTGTTTTTCTTGTCAAACTCTCAACATTTTTGTCAACCTTTAAGTGTGAGGACTTTAAATACAAAGTGTTGCATGTAAAGTGCTAGAAATCTGGGCTCATTTAGAAGCTTTGGGATTTGAGGTTAAACAGATGTCATGAGCTTTTAGTCTGAGTGTAGCTGAAAAGGAAAAGTGGCCTTGTGAATCAGTCATTGAACAAAGTACTTGAAGAGTGACTATTAAAGAGGTTGAGTGGAGGGTGGATCAGACTGGACAACTAAAGTCTTAGTAAATCTGACAGCTACAGAGATCTACCTTTGAAAGCTTGTAGAGACTGTGAACTTGAGTAGGGACTTGCTAAGCCTTCTCAGAACTCTTTGGTTTTCATGTCATGAAAATAATTTATCTCCGAAACTTGAGAAAAGGGGATTTTTTCCCCTCAGATAGAGAGGAGGTCTTAAGATATCTTTAGTGTTTGTTGAGAAAATTTTTGCTTGTTAATACATGTATTCTTTTGAAATAACTAAAACCCCCTAAAGGGCATATATTGTGAAGAGAAGTTGTGGCTTAAACTTGATTACCTTAATTTATTTAAAATCAATGTGTTGTGTTGCATTTTTATGTTTTCAGGTGACGAGGGTGACAACTTCTATGTAATCGACCAGGGAGAAGTTGATGTAAGTTTTCTTAATACTGAAAGGTATAGGTCAATGGTTTTCTAAGTTTTAAAATTATCCTGCTTTTGTGAAGTATTTTAAATTAAATGAAAAATATGCACAGGTATAGCTCTCCCTTGAGTTCCCTCAGTTTAGAGAGTATAATGTGACCCTTTTGTGGCTCCTTTTTAATCTCCCGAATCACATTGGCAAGTGCCTATGGGCAATATAGACCGCCACAGAGCTGACCACCACTACACAAGCCACACCTGTTGGGTTTTGATAATTAATTGATGGTCCTGTGATTCATTGCAAGGAAACAATTTAACTTCTAATCACTCACTCCAGCTCACATCAGTTTCTGTTGAAGCCATAATGTGGCCCCTGAGGGCATTTGTTCCAGGTGCTTTATTTGCTTATTTAATTATCTGAAATGAGGTCAGCTAGAATAAGAAGGGGATGGTATGCTTATCCATTTTAATTTATACTTCAATAAAAGGCGGTGAAGCAAATCTTAAGTATGACTTATTGCAGTACATTATATTAAAACATGTCGCTTTAACATTTTCATTGTGAATTTCAATAGTGTTTGTATAAAAAAGATATTCTCAAAAGGATTAAGTATGAAAACATAAATATATTATTTGTGATGACTGATTTGGTATTAACTTAAAATGTGGAAATAAATTTTGTTTTGAAGATAACTTTTTATTGGTTTTCTGTAATTCTGATAAATGAGAAATAAGCAGAAACTTACATTTATGCTCCATTAATTCAATTCAATCCAACTAATTTTCCATAAGTGATAACTGCTTAAACCATGATTTAATACTTATCCATTTTGAATCATTGGGTAGCCAATATTGTTGCAGGAATTGTTCTGTTGTAATGTATATTATATATAAAGACATTTTTAATGCAAAGTACAAATCAATATTCATAGAAATCTTTTAGAATTCAAATTGAAGTGAAAAAGATATCTTTTAAAATTTTACTCTAACGCACAAAATTAAGTTAAATTATTTTTATGGTATACCTCAAGACCATTTCTTGTCATAAAATAAATCTCAATTACTCTTCAGAAATTTCTAAATCCACTTGCCTTTTTCAGACAAGCCCTGGATGTCATCACTGACGAGGAGGAGCAATGCTTTATGTCCTCGAGCAGCTCCGTTGAGTTTAAAAAGCCGAGACTTGTCTGGGAGCCAATCTTGAACTGTCTGACCCACAAAAATCTTGTACTAGCTAGGCATTTCTACATGCTCGCTGTTACTGTGCTTTTCCTGGTTTGGGAAGCTTAACATTAGCCCATACATGATACAAAGCATCTACCTTTATTAATGTCATCAGATCTACTCTAGAATTCACTACAGAACGCATGTGGCTTCTTCTCGTCAGTGATTTCACCATTGCATCCTTGGAATGAAGGAACTGCATCCCAACAGAGAACCAATCATTTTGTTATGGGTGTATATGATTTTGCACTGTTGCAAGTAGTGTGCTTAATTCTTCCTTGACTGTTTTTTGTTTAAACAGATTTAATACCTTATTTACACAGTTGCTGCAAATTTAGTTTTGTGCTGAGCTTACAGTTTTGAATTAAAATGTACAAGTTGTAGAAAATAAAGTCTAGTCAAACTGTGAAGAGTAGAAATTCACTCCCTGTTATCCCCACTTTGAACAGCCTGTGAATGAAAATGGTTAGAATCAAGGTCATACAAATGGTGTGATTGAAATTCCCACTAGTTTTGTACAACACAGTGCATCTGTCATGCAGTAACTCAACACTGTCCATTAAACTGACTTCAGTGCCAAATAAACATTGAAGGAGCTAGCTTATGGATCTCAAACCTGTAAATGAAGTGAAAGTGTATGAAGATTTGTTTGGAATAGATCTAAATTGGAATTCCCTTTTGGCACATAAACGAAACCTCATCTGTGTTTTACTTGTGTTGTGAGTGAATAATTTCACTTGTAAGGAATTGAGAACTGAAGCACAAATACTTTTTCCCTAGAAGCAACTTTGATGTTAATAAGGGAATTGACACTAAGCGTAAAATAAGACTCTTTGTGCGTATGCTCTATATTTTTGGATCCTGGCAAAGCAACATTTTCAGCTGTATTTTTTTACAAGCTTTTAAATCCTAAAACTTTGTGTATTGGTACTGTACCAAGACTGGCTTGTGCGTCCATCATTCTGAAAAGATAGCTATATTCTCGGAGATGCTCTCACTGGTATTAATAACCACGATCAATGATGATCTTTACTGCTGCCTATTCAAATTGTTTCAGTAACAAAAGTCATATGATAATTTCCTCTTTTACATTTACTGAAACATTTTTGATCTGTGGATTTACTTGGAATTGTTACCAATGTGTGGGGGAGATCTGTGTGCTGGATATTTTGCTGTTCACCTGTTACAAAGTGTGCAGCACTAATAATTCTGCAATAGGATTGAGGCAGGACCAGTTACCAAATCATGCTGATCTTGTTATTTATGCCTTAAAATATAACCAAATCTATTACATGACACTAATGATACAACTATAATCCATTTACTATGCAAACTAATGAAAGACTTTTAGAAATTTTAAATCTTTCTTTCAAACTTGTTGTCCTTGTAATATAATTTTACTTATATCAAAATCTATCACTACTGTAAGAATAGTGTTCGTTTTCTTTTCTTTGAGACTTAGGGCTTTACTGCTGGTTTCAAGGTTTGTATTTCATAGGTCCATTGAATGTTGCCAACTATCTTGAGGATACCTAAATTTATTCTGTTTTAGACCATCTAAGGCAGTTTTTTTTTAAGATCAGAACTGTAAATATTGTTGGTTTAAACCTGCAAGTGTTTAATGTTACACAAACTAAACTAAGATTCAGTAATGCATGGGGGACTTGACATTTAAAATGCAGATACAATCTGAAGTGACAAAACGTGAAATGCTGTCTACAAATAGACGTTTTGTTGCTGTGTTTTGAAAGAAAATCATTGGCCTATTGTTTTTTCTAAGTAGAGCTTATTGGAAAAGGAAATATTAATGTGTTTTTAGTTGACAAAGAGTGGAACGAGCAAACAGAGAGGCCTCTAAGTGGATTTAGTTGACATAAAGAGCAGAAAAGAGCAAGCAGAGAGGCCTCAAAGTTGACTTGTGTTGTGGTTTTTTTCTAGGTCTTTGTAAATGGAGAATGGGTTACTAACATTGGAGAAGGGGGCAGTTTTGGAGAGCTTGCTCTGATCTATGGCACACCAAGAGCAGCAACTGTCAAGGCCAAGACGGACCTCAAGCTGTGGGGAATTGACAGGGACAGCTACAGGCGAATTCTAATGGTCTGTCTTAAATTACATCATTATTCTTCACTTTGCTACAGCTTCAGAGGTCAATTGAGAATTACATAAAAAATTCGATATAGTCTGAAATAAAGTTTAAAACACCTTGTAAATGAGACCAAAATGTTACCCCACATCCCAGAATGATGTAACATCTTAATCAACATAATTAAACATACATATTTTATGTGTTTACCCGAGGAATACTTCTTTCAAGAGCTAAATTATGGTTAGGAATTACAATTTGTTCATTGCGTCATGTTTTCTGCTCATTGAGAAAAAAACAAAAATGTTTTATTTGTATAACGGCTGTCATACTGCCTACAAAATCAGTCACAACACTTGACATCAGTTATTGTAAAGCATTTTGCAAAGCTTTAATATGCTGTAAATATTGCATAACCTGCATTGGCTACAAGTAGGATATCACCATCCTAATGTGGATGGGACAGTCTTGTAATTTCAAGGGGAGAGAGTTAAGCGTAAAAGGAAAGTCACTATGACCTACATATACTAGGCAATTATTGAAAGCAATTGGCAGAGACCTTTTTGTTGCTTGCATTCTCTTTGATAGGAAATGGCAGGTGGTGCAAATAAGTAGGCAAAGTAACTATATTGGATAAATAAATTATATCTATTATAATAACGTATACAAGCATTTTGTAGTCCAAAACTCTCAAAAACAATTACTCTTTTTAAATTGATTCCAGAGACCTGGGTTTGATTCCCGGCAGGTTTCCTTACTGTATACCGGCAAGTTTCCTTACTCTACATCTTATTCTACACCGGCAAGTTTCCTTACTCTACATGCCTGATAATAATCCTCCAAGAAAAAAAACATTAATAAATTGGTCATTTCAATCACGATTGTTTGTGGGACGCTGCTGTGTGCAATTGGCTGCCGCATTTTGCCCCCAAATGTACAGTCAATTCACTTTACAGTCTATTCTGTGAAGCGCTTTGAGACGTCGAGAAGACATGAAAAGCACTATATCAAATGCAAGTATTATTATTCCTGTCCAAAGGTACAACCTTGCCTGATATTGTACATTGTACAATCTATAACTCTATTGTAAGAGTCTTGGATGTTCGCAATCTTTGTTATTAAAGTGAGGATTAATATTTGCTTTAAAAATGCGTACTATATTTGCTTCACCCATTCATTATTTCGATGTAAGAAACTACAGCTATTTTTAGAAAATTGGCACAGACATGGAAGCTGAACGGCTGCCTTTTGTGTCATAAGTTTCTATGGTTCAATGTGTGTAAGAATAATTTTAACAATCAGAATAATTTTGATGTCTCAGGTTCAAAGGATGAGATTGGTGTCAAGTGTTGTAATATTTAAACAGACTGTATTTTGACCCTGTAGGATGCCACTTTGAGCCTAGTGTTAAAATGATAAAGGATGATTTACTATTGTTTTCTGCAGTTAAAAACTGAAAGCTCATTCAGTAATGTGTAGCTCCTGAAGTTGGATAACTTCAGTTGCAAGTAAATCAGTTTGACCTGTAAAATAGTGCAAAATATGTGATTTACCCCCTGGTTGGAGAAACTATAACCAGGGGTCACAGTCTTAAAATTAGGGGTAAGCCCTTTCGCACTGAGTTGAGGAAAAACTTTTTCACTCAGAGGGTAGTGAATTTATGGAATTCTCTACCCCAAAGGGCTGTAGATGCTCGATCCTTGAACATATTCAAGACTGAGATTGATAGATTTCTTGTGGATAAAGGGATATCAGGATAAGGCGGGTAGGTGGAGTTAGAATAGATCAGCCATGATCTTATTGAATGGCGGAGCAGGCTTGAAGGGCCGAATGGCCTACTCCTGCTCCTAATTCTTATGTTCTTAAGATAAAGCACATGGGTTTGATTCTCCCTTAATAATCTGAGTTACACAGATTGCAAAACAATGCACTCAATATATTTTTCCTTGTTAATGAATTCTAAATAAACTTGAAGGGGAGAAATTCATAGCCTCTCAAGAGACTTTTGTTAATTTGTTAGTTTTTCACACTGAAATAGAGCTAATTAAAGTCAGATTCTCACACCGACTTACCCATACTCAAACCTCTGATTTAGTATAACATTTTGCTGCCTAAACTTCTGTCATAGGAGCCTGTCACTTTTGTCATTTTTGAAAATACACACTGGCATGTTTTCTTTCTCTTTTTTGCAAAAGTTCTTCCCTAAGGCTTATATGCCAGATCCTATTTATGCATCGGCCTTCAACTATTCAGAAGAAAATCAGAGTTAGCAGCTGCTGAAACAAATCAAACTGACTGACTTGTGTTTTTTTTTCTGAACAGGGTAGCACACTGAGGAAACGGAAGATGTATGAGGAATTCCTGAGCAAAGTCTCCATTTTGGGTTAGTTGTCACCACTGGTTAATGTTGCTCATTGCCACACATGTAGTATGTCTGCAGAGCAGTCTTTGTCCATACCTGTGCGTTTTACTCAGGGGCCAGAAAGCATTATCCTGTAGCTGACCTCAAGTAGCCCCTGCAGCAGAACACACAAAGAATGTGAAGTGTCTTATGTTTAGAAGCTTTTTCAATACTAAGCACAGTCAGTGGAATTCTGTGTCTGGGCTTTATCCTGGGAGATTTCTAAGCTGATTCAAGCTGTTAAATAGTAGAAATACACTTGTAATGATTTCATATGTGAAAGGGCAGCTGGAGAATAGGATACTGCAGTAATTAGTGCATGACATCACTATACATGTTTAGTCACGGTCTGGGAGGTGAGAATTTATCCTCGGAGGATGCCGTTGTGCTCTCTTGTGTACTCTTACACAGGCTAAACAAACTAACACCAAAGAGCTGAATGGACCAGGTTTCTTTATTTTAAGGCTTTTATAACCTTGTCAGCTATTAAAGATTCATTCAACTTTTTTGTCCTTAGATTTTGCTTTTCTTTGATTATTTAGATAACCATGAAATTTGACTATGTTCTTGATGTTCTTCAGTAGTAAAGCATCAAAACCATAATCCCCAATGATCAATCACCATTAGCAGAACAAAACTTCTAGTTGAGGATGAAAAGTCACTATGCACCATACAGCATCTATTCTTGTATTGCATTACTGCCAGACTGAAGTTCTTAAACACAGAAAAGGGTAAAACAAATTTAACCAACAAAGCTGCATCTTGAAATTTATATTAGCTAACTCACTCTCATTTATTACTGCCAAAGTACTTTTTAGTTACTTAATTTTTTTAATTACATGTAGGTAAAGGATTAACTTATTAGCCAAGTTTACATCTTTTTAAAGTTGGGGCCAAATTCTTCAGCAGGCTATTTTCTATAGAATTGACTGTTGAAATGTTATCACTGGAAAAAAGTTAGAGCATAATTTATATTTTTTGTTATTGGTAGAATCATTGGATAAATGGGAGCGTTTGACAGTAGCTGATGCTTTGGAACCTGTCCAGTTTGAAGATGGGGAGAAAATTGTGGTGCAGGGCGAGCCGGGCGATGACTTCTTCATTATCACAGAGGTATTGAGAGCTGTATGAAACGCGGACATTTGTGCGCTTTACTTCAAAAGCAAAGCACACTGAGAAAGAGGTGTACAGTTTATCACAGTAATCCTTGCATTTGATATAGTGCCTTATGACATCTTCACAGGATATACTGTAAAGTGAATGACTGTATATTTTGTGGGTGAAATAACTACTGCATTATGATTCCGATCCTGTTTCTGCTGAAAGGTGTAAGAAAATTGGTCCCCGAGAAAGAGCGATACTGTGAGCTTCTCTGCCAGAGCTGCCAGTAACCACAGCTCATTTAGACAGTCTGGTGAGCTTTGGTGTACTTATCAGTTGACCTCTGCTTATTTCTGAAAAAGCTAGAAAAAGAGTGTTCAGTAAGTCAAAGTTAATTGTCTTACCTCTTGTGATTAAAGAGGGAGCCTTAATATACTGATTGATATGGTGTGTGTGGCAAAAATCAGAAAGGGTCCAGGTTCAATCACTGATCTATGATGGGCATAAAATGCGTAGCACATTGAGGAATTGGGACTGGTATAAACTACAAGAGAAGAGGTGGAGCAGTTTATCAACCCAAGATTGATCACTGCAGACAGATGGTGTTATTCTTTGTAAAATATAGAGATGCAGCATTTTACTTTTCTTTCCTGGTTTATTAGATAGTTCTGACAAATCACCTAGGGTTGTGTACCCCAAGATTAGGACAATCAAATCTTAGGATGCTGGACAAGTTTAAAACCTCCCAGCTTTTTGGTATCTGGTCATATTGCACCTGGGATACTGCAAACAGTTCTGATCACAATGACAAGGTGACCAGATGCACTGCAGCAAAGAGGATGATCCACAGTGTTAGAGGAATGAGCTATGAGCAATGATTAGACAAGCTCAGCCTGTTCAGTCTTGAAAGAGATTTCTCATAGGTCACATAGAGATATATAAAACCCATTATGGAAATGTATAACAATTTAAATGTGAAAAGGAATTTTTTTAAAAAAACTTTGTATTAAAAAAAATTAAATGAAAAAAAGATAAATTTCTGCTAGAAAATAGAAAATCTTGGAATACAATATGTAGTTCGGGACACAATATTTTAAGCGACTGCCAGGATGGTGGAAGGCGAACTAGGTGAACCTTGGTTTTTTGCTGAGCGCATTTTCTTGTGTTCTTAGAAAAACACAGAACAAAGAGGATGCACAGACAGTAGAAGAAGGGGGCACGGGTTTAGAGTTGCCCAGGGCAATTTCACGACAGGCATCGGGAAGTTATTTTTTACCCAGTAATTAACGACTATAACAGCTTGTTAGGAAGGATGACCGATGCTAGAACACTGGACTCATTTGATAAAACAGCTTGCAATGGGAAGACGGTAGAATGGGCGTTCTGGTAGTATGAGATCAGATGATCAGGACCTTCGTCATTCTAACAAATCTTGTGATCTTGATGCTGTGAAAGAAGAGTGAACGGGTGGAGATTCTGGGGAATAAGATCAATTGATCCAAATGACCTGCTTCACCCGAACCACTCTTGTGATCTTATACAATATGATTTTGGCAAAAGTGACTAGTATTTTTAAATGGCTGATTGTATTTTGTATCATTGAATAATTAATAATAATAATCCTTGCATTTGATATAGCGCTTTTCACGTCGGGAGGACGTCCCAAAGCGCTTCACAGAACACACTGTAAAGTGAATTGACTGTATATTTGTGGGCGAACGCGGCAGCCAATTGCGCACAGCAATGTCCCACAAACAGTCGTAGATTGAAAATGACCAATTTAATTATTGTTTTTGGTTTTTTGGAGGGATTATTATTAGGCGTGTGGAGTAAGGAAACTTGCCCAAGGTTTCGCCCTGCCTGGAATTGAACTCAGGTCTCTCACTTGCAAAGCGAGTGCTCTAACCACTGAGCTACAGGACTCCATTAAGAACTTAGTCACTACAGAAATTAGTAAATCCCACAGATTCTGCAATCAGCATAATCTTACTGCCTTTCAATATAGATGTTCTGCAAATTTGCTCATGAACCAAATTTGTCAGATTTGCTGACATTGTACTGTTGTTTGAAAAACTGCTGCGTTACAAAGTTCTGTTTTGTAGATTTCAATTCTAATTATTTAAAAATACTCTGCAGGGTTATAAATGCATGTATTCCTCTCTAAGTATGTCTTTCTGTAGTTACTGTTTAAATAGCAGTTGCATTATTACGGCGATAAAATGTGCCTTCAAAGAGTTAAATTCCTGAAGCTAATGGAGTATGTTATTAAATTTTCAGAGGTTTCCCACTGCTCTCTTCATTCACACTGTATCAACACAAATTTGAACCTTCCCAAGCCAGACAGATGTGGAATGTATCTATTCAGTCCCAACTCTGTGGAATTATCACATGTGAGATTTTTGAAATATGAGTGAAGAATTGTAATCACCCTTCAGACATCATCACCCTGCACCAAATTGTTTCAGCAAATGAGATAGCATAACAGATGTATTGCTTCTTATAACTGAGTTCTTCAATTTATCATTATACAACATAACCATATCCAACACTTAACATGTGCACATTTTTGAAGCATATTGGATTTTGAAAGTTTTTGCTTTTTGCCAGGCAGGCCGGTTCTCACACCAACTAACCCGTACTCAAACCTGGCCCTTACATAAAGACTGCTTTGGTTCAGGCCCCTGAGTTGAAGATAGGTTTGATGTACCTGAATGTCTTAAGATAGATATAATTTTTATGATTTTCATTTTAATATGTAAAGAGTTTTCTGCATTGAGAGGATGTAGTTCATGAAATCCAAAGTACAAGGAAACTATCACGTAAGTTAACATGTCCTGGGTTGCTCAGAAAGTTCAAACACTTTTGTGATCTCATGGTCTTTGGTTGAAACAGTTGACAATTCACTTAAAAGCTGTTATGCATAACCTCTATTCATTGGACAATCTCTACTGAATAGCTATTTAAATAAGGGTCAGTGAGCACAATATTATTGAAGGTGAAACAAAAACAGAAGTCGCTGGGAACACTCAGCAGGTCAGGCAGCATCTATGGAGAAAGGAAAACGAGTCAACGTTTTGGGTCCACGACCCTTTATCAGAACTGGCATATAAACTTTTGTTTATATTGAAGGAGGTTATTCCAGTCCCAAGGATTGTCTCAAAACCAGACAAATTTCCTGAACCAGTTTTTCTCGCGCATTTTTGCACTAAATTGTACAGCTGCTGTGGTGTAATTCTATATTTTTGTGTCTCTAACAAGTGCCAAGTCTCTCATGATCTTTTCAGCTACTCTGAGACTGTATGAAGCATCATGACCACTGACAAATGGTCTCAATAATTAAATACTACTTATCATGCTAAATGATTTCAGTAAATAATTTATTTACAACAACTTGCACTTATATAGTGCCTTCCATACAGGGCAGTCTCACAGCGCCTTAACAGTGCGGAGCCTGACTCTGAGCTGGGGGTGGTGGGGGGTGTGGTGGGGGAGGTGGCCGTAAGCACAGTCAAAGAGGAAGGTTTTCATGCGGTACTTGAAAAAGGCGAGAGAGAGGGCAAGGCGGAGGGATCGAGTGAGAGTGTTTCAGAGTTTCACGGTGTAGAGTGACCTTCATAAATAACTAAATTTACTTCACTAAATAATTAAAAAAAACAAATGCAATATAAAAAGTAAATGAGTACTTTTGAATTGTATTAGGTTGTACCACTGTTCAAACCTGTGCACCACCACACTGTTGCAATGCTGAGTTCCTTCTTCTCGGCCTGTTTCTGATTTGAGCAGATCATTGTTCAGCTCCTGATGTTCCTCCCTTAGTCTCCTTTTGTCGGGCTTCCAACTGGCCCTATCTCTTGTCATTCCTCCAATTCTATAGCCACTGAACTAACCAGGTCCCACTACTGAGCTTCCCCCTTCTAGCAATCGGCAGCTTTTTACAAGAACTTAGCCTGTACAAGAACATCTTCATCAGCCTGCGGGCTGTCAAAAACCATCCCTGAAGGAAAAATATTGACTTGGCTATTGGGCAGCTATTAACCATGTGTTTAACTGAAATATTTGTTTCTATAAAAGTCTTATTATTAACTGCATCCTTCTCTAAGTATGAGGAATTTAACTTGGGATTTAAATGATCTCAGCACTTTCTTCAAATAATCAAACAGAACTGATATTACATATCTGTTATGCCAGATTTTTCACCACAGCCTTGAAATGCTAGAACCATATAATATTTTAAAATCTATGTCCATATCTCCACGATATACCTGTATACCACAGCTTGTACGTGGATATTAAACTTCAGTACCAGAGATAATAGTATAGGACTACTTTTTGGTCAATAAATATTACAACTGACTGCTTCAGGAAGTTTACATTTCTGGTGGATTGGTAATCAGCAACAGATATGAGTGTTAGAGAGCTGGTTAGTGAGTAAATAAATGACTTTGTTTTTTTTAACCTTTGACATGGTCATTTTGTAAACCTTATCTGTTAGTAAGTTTCTTTTCCCTTCCCCCATCTGCTGAAACAGGTACAGCTAGTTTGGTTGAATGCATTATTGGCTGCCTTTGCCCACAGTAGCACATAAAAGGATTTGACACTTTTTACTCCCCCTACGTAGAAGACTGAATATTTTGGCATTTGAATGCAAAGTATTCCCTCTGCCTCCATCTCATTTAAATGGAGGAACTGATTGCTTCTGGAAGCAACATGATTTTTCATGTTGTGACAGGTGATGCTCTTTGGGCTTCAGTGCATGAGATCGGAGTTCAATCACTGAATTTATTGTTCAGCTTAAACAGCTTGAAACCTTAAAACCTGTCCATTGTAGATATTCCCTGTGAATTGAATTGCTTCTTGCTTTTCCCTTTCATGATTTGGTTTTAATGTTTTGCCATTTTTCTGTGAAATGCTCTGTGGGTGGTTATATTCCGTAGACAGTTCCCAAGAATCATGGTCGCCATTCAAGAAAGTCGGCACTTTATAAATAATCCTCTCTAATGTTGGCTTTTATT